ACTTCCCTTTAGCAAATTTAGTGGAGACTTAGTGTAGATAGATGTGTAAATGCTTAAAAGCTTAAGATCCCCCTTTTTTCTCTTTTTTTCTGTTTTGAGGCTGTAACATCATTGATGTCAAGAGCGCATGTAATTTTGATTTTTAGCCTTTGGAGTTGGCTGGTAATATGGAGGTCCTCTAGTTCAAATCCAGTAAAACCCCTAGTTAGATCAGTTGCTTCCAGGCACCCCTGGCAGTTGGCTGCCTCTGCTTAAACTCTTCCCAGTGTTCAGGTTCCTTTTGGAGACAACCCTGGCGTTGACAGACAGCACCCCTTGTTAGAAAGTTCTCTTTCGTAGTAAACATAGGGCTTCTTATAATTTGTGCTTATGTCTCCTATTTCTTCCCCAAGATTTTTTTCTGGTTTTCTCAGAACATTTTTCATAGTTCATTTTAGATGCTCAGAGGTTCTAGACAAGAACATTTTATCTTAAAACATTTGAGCATTCCTCACAAATACATAATAGGTGTTCCCAAACAATAGGATCATCAAATGCCTACTGTGTGCCTGGTGTAATGCTGGGGCCTCAAGAACACAAAAGCAAAGAAGTTGTCAGGCTGGTGAAGAACAGAGGTTTGGGGGAGTAAGTGCAGAGAGTGAATGCATGTGCCAGCTGTGAAGAGGGTTCCATGGGAATGGCAGGAGAGAGTGGCCGGACCGTTAGGGAAGCCTTCACCACCGGATGCCAAGGGCCAGAGGGGTGTTCTCAACCAAAGGTGGCAGAAAATGTGTGGGGATGTTGATTTTTAAGGTACAGAGTTGGGTGGGCAGTGCAAGTGACAGGAGGTGGGTCTGGAAAAAGGGACCATCTTTCAAATCATTTATCAAAAGAGGAAACCGTAGATGTGAGTACTGTGCTGAACCATACTTATATTCTGGAAGTTTTAGCTCACAAATAAATAATGCAGAGCTCTCATTGATTGAACATGTGCTGTGTGCCTGTCATTGTTCTAAGGTCCTTTCTCATACTCCTCACAGCTCTAGAGGGATGCACTACTGTCACCAACCCCAGCAGACCAGGAGAGAGGCATGGAGCAGGTCAGCTATTGCCCACAGCCATGCCATTTCATAGACCTTCCTGCTGGTGGGCACCATGTGGAAACCACTGTTCACATTGAATTTCCTCCAGTCTCTATATTCAGTTGCTCTTGGTTCTTTAATACTAAAATATATCTAAAACTGGCACTCATTTTATTTTCTTGCACAGTTGAAGTTATTGCTGTTTCACTTAATAAATTACAGAATAAGAAGAACTGAGTGGTAATAATGATTTACCAAATTTTACTAGAGCTCTTTGTACTTAGCATTGAATCGAATTACATTCTTTAGGTTGAGGGAAATATTTCTGAATATTGATACTGGCTGTTTACTGAGGTGGTTTCCTGTATATATCTATAAAATATAAATGATATTCATATTTTTCCACACCATTTGAAGGGTTCTTGCTTGAAAAGATGAATATCCTTGACTTGGGTTAACTGACATAGTTTTGTTCTAAAAATAGTTCTAAGTGTTGGAAGTGAAGTGATTTATCTAGGGCATTAGATTACAGCCCAGATAGGCTTTCAGCAGATCTGCTCTATATTTTTAGGATAGATTTCTCTACTTTTAATAATCCTCAATAAATGTGTATTGATGACAATACCTATAATGACAGAACATCTTACATTAGAGAGGTTAACAGGCTGACTTTTTTTTGAATAATCAAAGACCCCGGTCAAAGCTTAGCCTATCCTCTGTCTTTTTAGTAGAAGATCGTGCTCTTCAGGTAACACCCTAAACACCAGGGAGCTGCTGTGCCAGTATAACCCTGAGCCCAGAAGGAAAGTTCTGCCATAGAATACCTGGGCACCCTATACTCGGCCACATAGTTTGGGCGACTGAGAACCCAGCTGGCCTGCTGGTTGGTAATTCCTCAACACTCTGGTATGTCTTGATGTTGCCAAATAGACCGAAGGATTCGGAGAACAGGAAATAAACTGCTGGGAGATAAGTGGGCAGCTACAAACTGTAACCTAGACGAGAGAGGAAATGAGAATACTAATCCAGGGGAACAACATTAGCAGTTTAGCTTTATTTTTAAACCCAGAATCGTTGGAAAGATTTCTTTCTCTAATTTAGGGGACCTACCCACTTAGTTTTACTGGTTAGAACTCACAGCAAAGAAGTGGGGGGGTGGGACTATGTTTCCATTTATAGTTGCATCTCAAACTGATGAAGAATTACAAAAGGATTAGATTGAGTCTGTGAACTTTTTGTTTATCTAACAACTACCACTGTGTTTTCATAAGACCAAGAAATCTGTGATGTTAGAAATAATTTGACAATATTTGTTGCCTCTGTTCTTCAGAGTTTGTGTCATGCTGTGGCTGTGCTGGCTGTTGTCATGAAGAAAAGGGGTTTGATTATTGATGTGAACCAAATATGCAACCACACCTGGATGTTAAAGCAAAAAGGCGAAAGTATAGAAAATGTGACTAACCTTTATTCTCTCAAATATGATGCCTTGTCACCAGATACTACTTTATAAGGAAGGTCATAGTAGATGAATGGTCACTATGTTAACCTAAGAATTCAAAACTGATCAGCAGTGAATATCACGTTATTGGTCATATTTTGTCTTGTGGCAGCCATTCTGGTGTCCGTCAGTGAATCTGGATTTGTTGTCCCCCATCCACCTGTGATGAGGGCCCTCCTGTGTGTGTTCGTAAGTCTCTAATTGCAGATGGAGCACTAAATTATGTCCATTTAGTGAACCAAACTCTACAAAGACAAAGATGTCTTAGCACCTAACAGTTTGTAATAGGCAGGCAGGCAGTTAGCTATTGTTAAAATGCCTTTGGGAATTGAAAATAACCTGTTTGAAATAGTTTTCAATAATCTTTTAATAGTTCAAAGATATAACAGATTAAGGATTGTAACTTCTAATTATGTGTTATTCTTTGGCACAATATATTCAAACTAACTTTGTCAGTATTCAGAGATGATCATGACTCTGTCCCTTTCCTCAGGAAACACAATTCAGTAGGGAGAGTGTCTGTGCAGTGACAGTTACCATGCACACAGTGGGTTGTGTAAGCAATGCACAGGCAGAGCTGGGACCAGAGTGAGGTGGCGTGGGAACCATCAACTAGGTTGGATTTGACTGGTGTTTGCCATGTCTCAAGATGGCAACCTCACAGCTCTCTGATTTTTGCAGAGGTTTTTCTGTGTGTGTGTGTGTGTGTTTAAAGCTACAATATCCTTACATTTTAAGTGGGTAAGAATTCATTCCTCTTAGAAAATTTGAGGATTTTATTATGCATTTTATAACTAATGCTAATTACCACTAAGTGTGGTGGACCCAGGCTGGGGGCCGCTTCTAGCTTTCTGGTGCCTTGAAAACAAACTTAAGAACTTAAAATCAAGTGTGTTTTGGACACAGGTGGGCATGAGGGAGGGGTCTGGTTGTTGTGGAGGTCCTTGACAGTTTGTCATTGTACAGTTGAACCTTGAACAACATGGGCTTGAACCGCATGGATCCACTTATAAGTGGTTGTTTTTGAATAAAAAATAGCTCATTGTATCCCCCAGGTTTTGCATCCATGGAGTCCACCAACTGCAGATACGGATGGCTAACTCTAGGTATTGATCTGTGCTATTTTATGTAGGGGCTTTGAGCATCTGCAGATTTTGGTATTTATAGCGGTCCTGGAACCAGTCCCTCATGGAAGCTGATGGATAGCTGGAGTTAAGTTTTTGGGGAATTAAAAGGTATAGGTGGGTTTTTGGCTGCGAGTGGGGTCAGTGCTCCTAGCCCCCTCATTGTTCAAGGGTCAACTGTACAAGAATTTGGAGACCATTTACACAGGTGCCACAGGTTCACGGGGGTTATTAATTTATTAGGCACAAAGCCCAGAGAGGAGACGGGATTCAACAGGCATGCTCTTGCTGGTTAATGATAGTCTTAGTTTGACAGATATACGTCAGTATATATCCACATGTTCGTGGATGTTCTGGCTCCCAGCTGCACTTTGCCCAAGAGCAGGGCTCACTCTTCTCCAACTTTGTATTGGTCACAGCATCACACAGCAGGAACCTAAGTATGAGCTGAATGTCGACATGATCACCAGCATGGGCCAGTCAGGTGACACTCAGAGAATATTCATCACAGTGAATGCAGGGGAGTTGGTCTTGTGGCTCCTGGGCTCCAGGGATCACTAGCCCTGTGTCCTTACAGGGCTCTATGAGGGCTGCCCTCAGGCATTTACCTAATTCCACAAAGCACCTACCAGAGGGTCTTACTTTTAGATGAGGGAGTGATGGTTGAGAAAGATGAAAGTTGTTATCCGGGTTCAGAATTTTTCAAATTTGAAAATTAAAATTTTGTACTCAAACATTTTGAAACTTAGAATTTCTTCCTATTTCCTCTGTGATAAATCCTAAACAACTTAGATATTTTAAATGTGTGTTTTCCAAATTGGCCATGTTTAGATGCTGAACTATTTGAAAATAAAAATGTAGAAAAGATACAGAAAATTTAACATTGGGAGGAAAATGAAATTAAATAGGCCTCATCCTTTCCGTTTTTTGCACTAAATAAATAATACTCTGATTCAGACACACAATAGATTTTGTGAAGATTGTTTTTCCATCATACAGGACCGTCGGATGAGAGCTCCTCACACCTGTGAGAGGCAGGATGGCCTCTGGGTCCTGTTTTCATAGCGATGGACATTTTCATGCTGTAGTTTATCATTTGCTCAGGTGTCTGCTGTTTCTCAGGAAAACCTTTTATGGTTTTCCTGTGACTGCCAGTGTATGGGCTGTGCTCAGTCCCCTCCACTAATCCCCACAGCCTCCCCAGCCTTTTCCTTTGACCATGCATTCTGTTTAGTTCTGAAGTTGAATCTCCTTGTCGGCATAATCCTGGCCCACTGGTTCATTCCCATGGTAAATATCTTCTTGGTTGTTTTCTAGGTTGTGCTGGTAAGGTGGAATGAGCCATACCAGAAGCTGGCCACGTGTGACGCAGATGGAGGGATATTTGTGTGGATTCAGTATGAAGGAAGATGGTCTGTGGAACTGGTCAACGACCGAGGGGCTCAGGTGAGTGGGCTGGAACCTCTTCCAGGGAAAGACTGCTGGAAACACAGCACAGACCGTGTGTTCCAGGGCAAATGAAAACTCTTTCCAGAAATAGGTGGAGTAGAAATAAATGAAACTAGAACCCTACTTGTCATGCTTCATGAGTATATCACTAGATAAAAAGAGAAAGATCATACTTCTCTTCAACTGTGCTACTCTTATGAGAACGCTCCAGGCTTTAGAGCTCTAATTAGATCTGTGAAATAATTTTTATATTCAGTGTTGTGATTGCATGTTAAATTTGGATCCTCTGAAGTACTTCTAGCATATCACTTTTTTGCTCTCTTTCACAAGGTATTTTCCCTGTGTTGTAATCTTCCTGGCTCTCTCACAGGGGGCGCCACGTGATGCCTCTCACAGCCCACTCACCATGCTGAGTTTTTAACACTTTATCAGGTTGCAGTTAGCATGGCCACCTGTTCCTCCCTCAGCTCTTCCTTTCTGATACAAATTTGTCTCTCTCAGAGGAAAACAATTGCTCCAGGGATGCCCTGCTGAGCTGTGCTATTTTTGAAACCCACTCCATAGATTCTTCTGGCTCATGGGACAGCTCTGCTTGTCCTCCCACATGACGATGGGCTGGATGGAGCTCCTCTTCTCCTGTATGTAAGGACACATGTCCCATCCCAGGGATTTAACAAAACTAGGGCTTCAGAACTGAATCCTCAGGGGACCTGTGTTGATGGGGCATTTCTTAGACTATTCATCTCTCCTAGGATGGTTTCCCTGTGAGCTCCCCAAGTTTGAAAGATAGAGATAGTGAAGTGACATAAAATTGCAAGGGGCGAAGATATTGTTAGCAGATCCTTATTAGAGGATCTTTATAAGATGTCATCACAGAAGACAAGTCTACTTCTGGGTAAAAATCAAATTTCCTTTGTGAGTTATTTATTTGGTAAGCTAAATGTAATAATTTGTCTGACTCTGAAAAGGCCAGATTGTAGTAGGCAGTTAGACAGACAGGAGTGGAGCAAGGGTGATGGGCCAGGTACAAAAGGTCAGCAGGGGGAAAAGCCCCAGATGCCTAGCAAAAGACAAAACTGAGAAAACAAGGACCTCGCCCCCAGGGTGACCTTTCCTCCTGTAGCATATCGCTTGCCATGTGATTTAGACCCCTGACCTTTTCTCCTTAAGGATAACACCTAGGCCTTAGCTGTATTTCAGCTCCAGGCCCAGAAAAGCAGCAAAACCAGACAAGTGGCGCCCTGGCCGCCTCAGGACCAGCTGCGTTAACTAATGACCCCCTGCCCTGGTGCCAGCCAATCAATGGAGACCAGGACCCTGAAAGAGCACACCTGGAAAGCTGAATATACTATTGAGATCCTCCCTTGAGACCTCCTTTAAGATCCCTCCTGAGAGAGAGGGAGGGAGGGAAAGAGAGATACCATGCCCAAGCCATTCCCTTCCCCCATTTTTTCCCCCACGAGAGACTCGCAGCCAAGAGAGCAGTGGGCAGTGGCAGCTCATCCTGGGCTTAACCCCCTGAACCTGTCTCTAAGGCCCACTTTTCTCTGACTTCCCAGTGAGCCAAAGCAACTCAGCCTAGGCTCTCCTGTTGCTGCTTCTATGCCCTTCCTTATTTCACTGTCCTGAATGTTTTTGCTGCAGACAATAAATTCTTGCTGGCTTTGCTGTACTTTGTCTCTTGACTGAAATCTTTCCTTCAAGAAGACAAGAACTGAGGTCTTGTCATCTCACTGGTAACAAATACCAGTTTCTTGCATACCTCCATAGGGTGAAAAAGAAGAGGTAGAACCTACCCGGTGACTAATTAGACTTCCGAATGGAGCTGCAGATATGGAAATCTCTGTGACTACGAGAAGTTCATGTCACCTGGGGGGGATGTCGTGGTCAAGAGCATGATCTTTGGAGTCAGACCACACATGCCACAAATCTCACTCGATGACTTCTTAATGGGAAATACTTATCTGTGCCTCAGTTTCCTCTTCTGCAATGGGGATTCTAATGATACCTGCCTCAGAGGATCACTGTAACTAAATAAGACTAAATATGGAAAGTGCTTATAGCACTGTCTGCATATGATAGTCTCCACAGTTGTTAAGAGTCTCTATAGAATTATGAGTGGCTATTAACTCATAGTACCTGAGCACAGAGCCTGCCTGCCCTGAAATAGTATCCATAATGTCATCTCCAAAGAGTAGCCTCGGGCTTTGAGGCTGCAACTCTTCATGGCTTTCTGTAAAGTAGAGACTTCTCTGAATTTGTCCATAAGGGTCTAAAGTGCTATAATTCTCCTGTCTACCAAAGTGTGAGCTCTTTTCCCTAGGAAGGCCCAGTGGTCAGGTGAGACGTATTTTCAGTTGGGTGGCAAGAGGTTTTTAAAGTGTTACCCAGAAAAATAAAGCAAAAGGGGGCTATGAATGCCAACTCAGGGCTTGGCTTTTTCAGGTGTTATCTCTCAGTCTCCACAGGAACCCTTTAAGAAGATGTTATTCTCAGTTAATGGGGAGGGGGGTCAGGGAGGTTCAGTAACTTGCCCACAAAAGTTCAAGGGTGTTAAAGCCAGAATTGAACCCAGGTTGAATCCAGAACGCTCTATAACGCTGTCTAATTCCCCGGCAAGGAACTGTTTTCTCTTTTAGCAGAAATTCATAGTATACTGATAAGATACATTGTTCCAAACATTTTTTTGGAGGTAACAATACTGTTTAATTGCATTATGTTTTTATTCCTGCATTGTGACTCCTCAGTGCTTATTTAGTTCTTTCAGTTTTGAATGTACCTTTGCCACTCTCTAAGATACAGACTTTAGATGAAAGATGGGTGAGAGCTCCCTTCTACTTCTCCTCGTTACTCACATGTGACCACAGTAGGTTGCCAGTCTGTGTACTTCCCCTCTGACAGGGCACAGAACACCCAGGAAAGGTGCTTCTTGGCATCAAGAGACAAAAGGCCACTGAATCTGGAAAAACCTGACTCTTGATCAGCAATGCTTTTGAAGAAAGATCTTGATCAATAGGGGGAAATGTGAAAAGTAATAAACAGCACCTCCTTTAAAATGCAGCCTGGAGGCGAGAACTTTCCCGGGTGTCTCACGCAAGCGCAGGGCCGACCCCACAGGAAGAGGCACCTGCGTCTCCCACAGCAGGTGATACCACGTGACTACCTTGCGGGAGGAAGGAAAGGTTCCTCCTCGCCCAGTAACAGCTCAGCCGATGGGAGGCTGCCACAGCTCAGCCAATGAGAGGCTGCCACAGCTCAGCCAATGAGAAGTCACTGCACTTGGAACTCTGTTCCTCCAATGGAATCTGTTTACAACGGCCCCTCCGGAGCCCGGAGCGCGTCTCTCTCCTTTGTTGCGCTGTTCTTGTGGCTCGGCCTTAGCGCTGTGTCCCTGATTCCAGCTTTTTGTGGTTCCTGAATAAACCCTTCTGGCTATTTGTTAAAGCTCAACATTATACGAAAGAGCTCCAGCCTCAGCCGCCAAGTAGAGCTATTGCCATATCACTTTTTTCTGACTGGCAGCCTGTCCAAGGGGGGATCCTTCTGTCATGTCCATATAGCAGCTGTGTGGTCTCTACCACCACCATATTCCTCAGCTTTTCTTGTCATTTAGAGTTTGGTGCAAATGGCATGTTAGAGAAAAGAAAGGAAGAATGAATTCAGACCTGGAAGTGAATGAGCTTACATGGACCTTAGAACATCTGGAAGCACCTAGAATCTCACAAATTCCTGTGCTGCCTAGGCTCTACTAAAGTAATCATTATATCTTGTGATCTGATTTATATTTTTATATAATTTTACTTTTTGGAAACTCTGATTCTACACATATCAGAACCCATCGATTAGTTGTCGTCATTAAGCGCAGGGGGGTTTGATTGCTTTTAATTGTATTGAAGTTAGATTTTATCTGAGTAAAGAACTTCACATTCTGGTAGTGATGAGTCACTGGTTAAAGGAGCAGTGGCTGTCTACACCTGAAACAGTATCTTGTGGGAGGAGGGACAGTTTTGTAACTTGGAATAGGAATGTCCTTGAAATCTGCTCAGAGAAAAATAATACTTTTTAGAAGAAATGGTAGGTGATCCTTGTTATATAGCATGCCCTTCATTGAGGTAAAACAATCAAACATCTCACAAAAGCTAAATGATGCTTTAACAATTTCTTTTTTAGGAAATGATTGAGTCATTTGTTTCAAAATTGAGTCTGGAATGGTGCGTGCATAGTTTTACAGAATTAGTCACCAAGGATGATCTGATAAAAGCTACCTCAGGCCCAGCTGGCTTGGCTCATCGGTTGAACATCAACCTAGGATNAATTCCAGTTTTTTGTGGTTCCTGAATAAACCCTTCTGGCTATTTGTTAAAGCTCAACATTATACGAAAGAGCTCCAGCCTCAGCCGCCAAGTAGAGCTATTGCCATATCACTTTTTTCTGACTGGCAGCCTGTCCAAGGGGGGATCCTTCTGTCATGTCCATATAGCAGCTGTGTGGTCTCTACCACCACCATATTCCTCAGCTTTTCTTGTCATTTAGAGTTTGGTGCAAATGGCATGTTAGAGAAAAGAAAGGAAGAATGAATTCAGACCTGGAAGTGAATGAGCTTACATGGACCTTAGAACATCTGGAAGCACCTAGAATCTCACAAATTCCTGTGCTGCCTAGGCTCTACTAAAGTAATCATTATATCTTGTGATCTGATTTATATTTTTATATAATTTTACTTTTTGGAAACTCTGATTCTACACATATCAGAACCCATCGATTAGTTGTCGTCATTAAGCGCAGGGGGGTTTGATTGCTTTTAATTGTATTGAAGTTAGATTTTATCTGAGTAAAGAACTTCACATTCTGGTAGTGATGAGTCACTGGTTAAAGGAGCAGTGGCTGTCTACACCTGAAACAGTATCTTGTGGGAGGAGGGACAGTTTTGTAACTTGGAATAGGAATGTCCTTGAAATCTGCTCAGAGAAAAATAATACTTTTTAGAAGAAATGGTAGGTGATCCTTGTTATATAGCATGCCCTTCATTGAGGTAAAACAATCAAACATCTCACAAAAGCTAAATGATGCTTTAACAATTTCTTTTTTAGGAAATGATTGAGTCATTTGTTTCAAAATTGAGTCTGGAATGGTGCGTGCATAGTTTTACAGAATTAGTCACCAAGGATGATCTGATAAAAGCTACCTCAGGCCCAGCTGGCTTGGCTCATCGGTTGAACATCAACCTAGGATCCAGGAGATTGAGGTTCGATTCCCTGTCAGGGCACATGCCTGGGTAGTGGGCTCGATCTCCAGTGGGGGCCGTGCAGGAGGCAGCCGATCAATGACTCTCTCATCATTGATGTTTCTATCACTCTCCCTCTCCCTTCTTCTCTCTGAAATCAATAAAGATACATTAAAACAAAAAAACGAAAGAACTGCCTCAGGCAGTGAGTCATCCAGGCTGCTTGCTCAGCTTCAATTAATCCATGTCTGAGAACACTCGCTAGTGAAGCAAGAACACTGTAACCCTCTGCAACTGAAAGACAACCAGTGGAGGGGGCTTTCTACCTGTTTTCTTTACAGCATTTGGTACTGAGCTCCCCCCCCCCGTTTCTGTTTTTCAGTTGTGATATATTCTTATCACTCTTTGCTGACCTAATTAACCCAATTAATCCATGTAAACATTCTATGTTACTATTTTTTGTGACTGTAAGGTTGGTGGTGTGTGTTTGGGCAAGATTCTTTTCACTGACTATACTTTTTAATCCTCTATTAAGTTGTTCTTCCTTTTAGTACAAGTATTTCCCAAGATAAATGAGTTAAAATACATGTAAATAAAAGCATTATTTTTTGCAAAATAAAAGGACTTCCAAATTTTATTGCAGAGTTTATTGGACTTCATGAAAATTTAAAAGTTTTACCCTTTGAAAGATACCACTAAGAAAATGAAAAGGCAAACCACAGAGTAGGAGAAATTATTTGCCACACACATTTCTGATAAAGGATTATATTTAGAATTTTTACCACACAATAAGAAGGCCAGCTTCTTGATATATATGAGTAGGTGAATATGAATACATATATATGGCAAGGGACTTGAACATGCATATCCCAAAAGATGATGTGCAAATGATCAAAAAACAAGTGAAATCATGTTCAACATACTAGCCATTGGGGAAATGCAAATTAAAACACAATGTCATCCTGCTACGCAGCTACTAGGATAGCTAAAATAAAAAGACCAGCCACACCAGGTGTTGGTGAGGTGTGGACCTGCTAGTGCTCTCATATGCTGCTGACGGGGGTGTGTAAAATGGTATTACCACTTTGGAAAACAGTTTGGTAGTTAGTTTCTTACACAAACATACACTTACCATATGAACCAGCAATTCTACTTTTAGGTGTTTACTAAAGAGAAATGAGACCATATGTCTACAAAAGGTCTTGTCCATTTTGGTTATCTGGTCTGTGCCTATTGTCTCTGTAAAACAGGCATGATAATACCTCCCACAGGTGGTCTTTACTAGGTTTATTAACTCGAGTGAAGCACTCAGCACCACACCGACACATGCTTTTCAGATGATGTCTTTTATATAATATCATTATAATACGTATATATATTTATATTGTTTTCTTTCTTTTTTTAAGTGTATCTTTATTGATTTCAGAGAGAGGAAGGGAGAGGGAGAGAGAGAGTTGAAACATCAATGATTAGAGAGTCATCATTGATTGGCTGTGAGCCCGCAACCCAGGCATGTGCCCTGACCGGGAATCGAATCCCAGTCTCCTGGATCCTAGGTCGATGCTCAACCGCTGAGCCACACCCAGCTGGGCTATATTTTCTTAAAAGCCATCTTGATCTTAGCCAAAGGCTAATGGCTAGCTAGTCTTTGATGAAAGCTCTTTCCCTTTAAGATTACAAATTGACCACTTTTCTCTGTGTGTGTCTCAAAGGTGAGTGATTTCACTTGGAGCCATGATGGGACTCAAGCACTTATTTCATATCGAGATGGGTTTGTCCTGGTTGGGTCTGTCAGTGGACAAAGACACTGGTCATCTGAGATCAACTTGGAAAGTCAGATCACATGTGGCATATGGACTCCTGATGACCAACAGGTAATGCCTCTTGAATATGAGTATGTAATGTTAAAACCATTAGAGCTGGGGAGGAAATGAGTTAAATATTATCACACAGGGAAGAAGGGGTGGGCCTAGGTGAGTTGGCTCCAAAGACTTATAAAGAATCACAAAGGAAAAGGACAATGCCAGTGTCCAGGTAAATATTAAAACAAAAATTTGAAACCATAGATTGGAGAAATAGTATTTCCCACCAATGCAGTAAACATTGGGTTAACATTTTAATTGCAGAAAATGTTGACACAAATTTAGTTTTAAATCTCCATGAATAGCCAACTGATAACTGGATAATGGACATAAATAATATTTACAAAAGAACTTCAACTAGTCAGTAATCATATGGTGGAAAAGTATTCTCGGGGGGGAAATGCAAAATAGCATAGTGAGGATATATTTTCACTTATTAGTAAAAGTAGTAAATGATACAGATGATTTTACTGATTATTGATAAGAGTACAATCAAATAAGCATTCTCGTTCATTGCTAGTAACAATGTGTATTAGATGTTTGAGGAAGCATTTTGGTGTAGAGTATGTGAAAAGTCTTAAAAGTTATCACCCACTTTGGCCTGGTAATATACTTTAGGACTTTATCTAAAAGAAACAAAAGGAAGAAAATAACAGTTCTTTATTGAAGTATTCTTTATGATAGCAAAAATATGGCAATAGCCTACTTTGTCTGAAAATATGGTGGTTAAGTAAACTGTGGTATAACCCTTAAAGTATTACATAGTAGTTCCATAAGTTGTAGATTGTGGTTACAAAGATGGTGTAATAATATGGAAGAGCTCTTATGATCTAATGTTAAGGGGAAAAGTCAGGATTCGAAGTGGTATATGTGGTGCGATTACCACATCATAAACACCCAAAAGAAACCTGTCTCTGTAGTGTAAATAACTGGAAGGAAGTGAATCCAAATGCCACGAGCAGGTTGTGATTTTATGGTGGTGAGCCTCTGGGTCATTTTTTCAAACGTAATTTCAAAAATGTTTTTAATGTTCTACTTTCGTAATGTATAATCTAATAAAATTATATATATATGCATATAACATTATAGCATCCAAATATATAAAATGCTAAATATATGAAGCAAGCTTTCACAGAACTGGAAGGAGAAATTCAGAGCAATACAGTAATGGTAGGAGACTTCAGTACCCCACTTTCAGTAATGTGTAGAACATTCTGACACAAAAATCCATAAGCAGTGGGCTTTAATAACAGTATAAACCAAATGGACCTAACAAACACATTGAACATTCCACCTGACAGAAGCAGCATATGTGTTCTTCTCAAGAGCAGAGGAGCCCTGCTGGGCATGGTTCAGCGGTTGAGCATCGACTTAGGATCCAGGCGATCCGTGTTCGATTCTCAGTCAGGGCACATGCCCGGGTTGCAAGCTAGGCAGCCGATTGATGATTCTCTCATCATTGACGTTTCTATCTGTCTCTCTCCCTCTCCTTTCCTCTCTCTGAAATCAATAAAGATATATTTTTAAGGAAAAAAAAGAAAAGAGCAGAGGAACGTTCTCCATGATAGATCACATGTTGGGTCACAAGCATTAATACATTTAAGAAGACTGAAATCATACCAAGTACTCTTTTCAGTCAGAATGGAATGAAACTAGAAATGATTAGTGGAAGGAATACTGTAAAATTCACAAACATGTAGAAATTAAATTTTTTTGCTTAACTGAAGGGTTGAAGAAGTCAAAAGGGAAGTTAGAAAAACTGAGACAAAAGGAAAACAGCACATACCGAATCTGAAGGGGTATAGCAAAAGTAGTACTAAGGGGGGAATTTATAGCAATAACACCTACAATATAAAGGACAAAAAAGATCTCAAACAATGCAACTTTCCATCTCAAAGAACTAGAAAAAGAACAAACCTAGCCCAACATTAGTAGAAAGAAGAAACAACAGAGCAGAAATAGAATGAGATGTAAAATAGAAAAACAATAGATAAAAGTCAACAAAACTAAGAGTTGGGATTTTTGAAAAGAACAACAAAATTGAAAAACCTTTAGCTAGACTAAAAAAAAATGAGAAATAAAGGAGACATAATAACCAATGTCACAGAAATTGTAAGCATCATTGGAGACTACTATGAACAATTACATACTACCAAATTGGATAATCTAGGTTAAACAGATAAATTCCTAGATAATAGAACCTACCAAGACTGAATCATGAAGAAATAGAAAATCTGAACAGACCTATAATTAGTAAGGAGATTGAGTTAGTAAAAACCTCTCAACAAAGAAAACGCCAGGATCAGATGGCTTCACTGGTGAATTCTACCAAACATTTAAAGAAGAATTAACACTATTCTCAATCTCTCCCAAAAACTCAAAGAGAAAGAAACACTTCCAAATTCATTTTATGAGGCCAGCATCACCCCAGTACCAAAGCCAGACAAAGACAGTATAGGAACAAAACAATTACCAATGTCCCTGATGAACATAAGTGCAAAAATCCTCAGCATAAGACTAGCATACTGCCCTAGCCTGTTTGGCTCAGTGGTTGGAACATCAGCCCTCGGACTGAAGGGTCTTGGATTCGATTTTGGCCAGGGGCAGGTACCTCAGCTGCAGGCTTGATCCCTGCCCCAATCGGAGTGCGAGGGAGGCGGCCACTCTGAAAAGCAATGGAAAAAATATCTCAGATGAGGATTAAAAAGAAAAAAAAATGCTAGCACGCTGAACGCAACTGCACGTGAGAAGAATCGTACACAGTCATCAAGTGGGTTTGATCCCTGGGATGCAAGGACATTCAGCATATGAAAGTGAATTGTGATATGCTGCACTAACAGAAGATAGCATAAGAACAGATCATCTCAGTAGATGCAGAAAAGCATTTAACAGAATTCAAAACCCTTTCTTGATGAAAACTCTCAACACACTAAGAATAGAAAGAAAAGACTTGAACATAATCAAAGCCATATATGAAAATCCTGTAGCTAATATCATGCTCAGCGGTGAAAAACTAAAAGCTTTTCCTCTATTGTCAGGAACAAGATAAAGATGCCCACTCTCTCCGTTTCTAGTCCACATAGTCCTGGAAGTCTTTGCCAAAGCAGTGAGGCAAGAAAAAGAAAGAGAAGGCGTTCAGATAGGAAAGGGAGAGGTCAAACTGTATGTGTTTGCAAATGACATGATCTTAGGTGTAGAAAACCGTAAAGAGCGCGCGCACACACGTTAGAATTAATGAATTCAGTAAAGTTGCAGGATACAAAAATTAGTGGCATTTCTGTACAGTAACAGTGAACTATCTGGAAAGGAAATTAAGAAAATTCCATTTATAATAACATAAAAAAATAATAAAGTACTTAAGATTAAACTTAACCAAGGAGGTGAAAGACTTACACACTGAAAAGTACATGATGTTGATGAAAGAAATTAAAGAAGACACAGATAAATGGAATGGCATCTTGTGCTCATAGATTGGAAGACTTAAATTGTTAAAACATTCATACTACTAAAAGTGATCTATGGAATTCAATGCAATCCATATAAAATCCCAGTGGCATTTTTTTACATAAATACAAAAAGATCCTAAAATTTAAATGAAAGCACAAAGGGCTAGGAATAACCAAAGAACAACGCTGGGGAGCAGTCCTGCGTCCCAATTCCAAAATACGTGACAAAGCTGCACTTTCACAGCAGCACAGTATTGGCATGATACAGACAGGGACCAACAGAGCAGTATAGAGAAGCATGGAAGTAGCCCGTGCGTATACAGCCAGATGGTCGTCAGCAAGGGTGCCAAGAACACACAGTGGGAAAGGAGAGTCTCTTTAACAAACGGTGCTAGGAAAACTAGGCACGATCGGGAAAAAGAATGAAACTGGACCCTTGTCTTACACCAAAAATATAAGTAATATGCGGTGTATATATACACAATGGAATATGTTTCAGCCTTAAAAAGGAAGGCTGAACAATATGTAGATAAACCTTGAGGACATTATGCTAAATGAAATAATCCAGTCACTGAAGGTCAGATACTGCATGATCCCTCTTATATGAGGAATCTAAAATAATGCAGTTCATAGAAGCAGAGAGTGGAAGGATGGTTGCCCTGGAATGGAGGGAGGGGAAACAGGGAGTTGCCGTTTGGTGGGTTTAAAGTTTCAGTTATACAATATTATTATGTTCTAGAGGCCTGCTGTACAACTTAGTGCCTGTAGTTACCAGCACTGTATTTGTCCACTTGAAAATTTAAGAGTGTATATCTCACATTAAGTGTTCTTATCACAATAAAAACAGTGTAATATATGGGAGGGGGAAACTAAACTTATTTTAAAGTCAATTTCTTGTTAATTTAGTATTATATTTTCTTCATATGCTTTTATTAAAACCACAGCATGATAATGACCTTGGTGTTGACGTAGAACCCTTGCATGAATGCCAGTGTTTGTCCAAATGGCTAACTCCGGAATTGAGCTTACTTGGGTGGTATTTCTGAACCACCAATGCATTTCTGCTCCGACGACCCTACACTTGGCATTGAAGTACATCCTGTTTCACACTGAAGGCAGGTGACGTGTGCTACTACCAGTGATAGACATACTTCTGACTAAATTCTAGGCAGCCCCTGCTGAGCCCTCTTCTTGACTAGGCCTCAGCCTTGGCCTAGAAAACTAGATTCTCATCACAAATGATTTCATGTACAGAGAGAGAGACAGACAGACACACTTGAATAAACACTATCATAGTTCTGTCAGCTCAAGGCTGTGTTGCTAGGGATGACAACTGCAACCCAATTAAGTTCTTGCCTGGGTAAACTCAAGGCTGCCAAAGGAATTTACTCTGTGTTCCGGACAACACCTGGACCCCTGTCTCCCAGGCTCTGTAGAAGGGCAGGTCCCTAACTGACGAGAACCAGTTAGCACACCCAGATAGCCTAATCACATTGGCAAACCCCACCTCCTGCTTTTTGTGAATTTCCACTTCCTGACTTATTGAATCCATCTCCCCACTTCCTA